CCTCTCGAGCATCAGTTCGAGTCAGCTGGAAGCAAGCTGTGTCTTGCACGGGCTGTTTTAGGACCAAAGCATTTGCTCCCCTTGGGTGCTCCATAAGCTCAGTGAGAACCACTATGCCCTTCTGCGACGACCTTTCTATTCCATTGTGGTTACTAATGACCAAATTGGGCTTTTCTGGATTTGCCACGAGGGAGCCAGGGCGACGTTGTGCTGCCCAAAGGAGGGTGACGATGCAGCGGTGGCCTTGGCCAGCCCCCCGGCACGGTCCTGCCTGCCCAAGCGCTGCTGGCTTTGAAAAGTTTAGTTCTGAAAGAGCCACTCTCCTTGACCTATTTATTTTTGCCCACGTTTGTGGCCTGCATTGTGTCCTGACGAAGAGATCGTGCTGCTTGAAGGCCCTTTATTTTTAGCCAGCCCAATTTTCTTGTTGCAGCTTAGTGGGAGCTGGTCCTTTCAGTTCAGCTCCATCACAGCTCACGCTCTCCTGCGTTTGCCAGCTCTTACCCAGGTCCCTGATGTTCTTTGTGCATCGATCGCTCACTCAGTGGGCTTCCTACCCGCCTTCCACCAGGCTCCGTTCCTCCTCCTTTATGTTCTGCTTAGCCTCTCCCACCGCTCCAGGTCCATGGCTTAACTTCTGATTTCACTCTGCCCTTGGCTTGCAGCAGGGACCAGGCTTTCACAACCGCAGAGGCAGGTCGCCAGGCTTGTCCTGGATCCCAGCACCCCTCCACAAAAACTTCCCTCCCGTCTGCTCCGATAACCTTGGCTGTGCTTCCCCTCCTCACAAATGTCAGGAAATTGGAAATGATGCTCTAGCCACATAAAAATCAATAGCCGCCACCTTGGCCTGGCTTGGCCCTGCTCTTTCTACCTTTACCCAGGACAGGAGGGAGCAATGTTTTCCGCTGAACTCAGAGCAGTGATTTATTGATACGACCCATTCTGTCCAGGCAGTTGACCAGCAATATATTTATTTTTCCCAGCCCATCCACGTAGCCCAGAGCGGTGGCTTGTGCTCGGCGTTAGGTCACGGAGGGGTGGGCTCAGAAATCTAGACCAGGATAATATTTTCTTTCTGTGACCGTGGAGCAATAGGTAAGGACTTCAAATCACTCCCAGATCTGGGTGAACTGCATTAGGAACAACGCCAATATTAATTTCATTTTCCGAAGGGGTCAGTCCCGGCAAGGGCCATGTGCAGTTTCCATCAGAAGCTATGGCTCCAAGACGAAAAGAAATTCATTATGAGGACTGCAGATTACATTGCAGACTGCCTTTATTATTCCCTGGACTACTACCAGAAGGCACAGTGTGATCGAAGGAGCAGGAACAGTTCTAAGGTCCTTTTTCTTGGAAATCTTTGGGGCTATATTCATTTAATTCAAAATACAGCTCTTGTTGGAAACCAAACAGCATCACCTTTTCAGCTGTAGGAAGCGTAACACAATTGGTAAAGGTTACTGGGGACTAAATCCTTGCCAGCTCCTGTTTGTGTCCTTGAAAGATCTTCCTCTTGGGAGCCCTGCTAATTCTCCAGGCGCTGGACACGGGGGAAGGTGTGTTCCGAGTGGCTGCGCTGCACCATCCCTGCCTCCTGTCCCCCGCCGCATCGGGCTCGATTTTATGTGCCAGCAAGGCAGTAACAGGGATCACTCTGTAATGCAACTGTGATTACATGGAAATTGAAGCGTGAGAGAGAAAAGAAATGAGGCAATTGAGAGGTGTGATTCTGACGCCAGACCCCTCTCTCTGCTGCTAGCGTTGCCCCAATGACCGATGTAAATGATGCCAAATGGGTATATTTTCCAGTGCCTGGTGTTGATGAATAACAAATGACAGGAAATACTTAGCCGTTTCCCTCTGAATGGCTTTATCTGGACTTTCACATACTCCCTACTTTGATTTTCATTTCCTTATTAACAAAAAATGTGCAGGGAGGACGTTTGTTGATAATACATGAGCCAAGAATAGATTCCAGCTCCTTTTACCATTTTGGCACCAAAATGCCAAGAGGGATGAGACACCCTGTAGTAAACACTGCTCATTTTGAGGCGGCAACTAGAAAATACGGCTCTGAGTTCGGGAGAAGAACGGATGAGCCAGAGGATCTGTGCTTGGCCTGGTCATATTGCTGGGTCAAATGGGATCTATAAAGAGCTGGGAAATGGCATATTCCCATCCAGTGAAGGGGTAAAGTGGTGTCCTAACATATACAGCTTTGTGCTGGTCTCTGCCCTTGACAGTAAGGTTGTCCTCAGGCTACCAAGGTGCAGGGCTACCTTTGCAGGACGTGCTTCTCTGCCCCATAGCTACCAGTTCTTCTTTAGCTGCTGCCTCCTAATTCCTCAGGAAAAAAAATCTGGGCATCTCCTCTGCACATGTCACTCCTCATGCTCCTAGAAGGGACGTGTCCCTCCTGGGAACATGTCCTGCTTTTCTTGAGCTGAGGGAAATATTAAATAAGAACACTAAAAATGAGGCTCGTTAGCAAAGCCAAAGGTGGAAATAGCATGAGCCGGAGCATTTGCTTGGGCTGTCTGTAAGCGACAGCACTCCCCTTCCCGTAGGTCGGTACCTTCTGGGAAACAGCTCAGTGTGAACGTAGGAAGAGCCAAATCCTTAATTTCATATGGGAGAGAATTTTCAGAACGGTTGCAGTGCTTGAGGGTGCAAGTACATCTGCTTCCTACCGAGAAGTATTTGTCTGCTTTGGACTCACGGTAGGATGCAATAATAAAAGTCTCTCTCTCCCTTTCTCTCTTTTGCTCAAGAATTTGCAACTCTTCCAGCAGCATTCCCTACTTTTCTTTCTTATTGCTGCCCAGAGCTGCGAGCTAGAGGTGCGGACAGGTCGTGGGTGTCACATCTGTTTCGTAAACGCAGTTATTTGGACTCCACAGTAACTACAAGTTTCCTTCACATCAGTCTTGTATGAAACTTGCTGCAAGATTAGCACAGGACCGGGCTGTCGGGGAGCTTGGTGCTGTACATTTGTGCTATAGATGTGCCGGGGATGGGCACTGCAAAAGCACAGAGCTGCCTGAGAGAGCTCGACTCGCAGGCGGTTCAGTGGCAAGAAATAACTACCAGCATCGTCTGCTTGTATTAATCATGAGGGAACTACAGCAGAACCTTATCTTTGGAGGTTTTCGAGTGTAAAAGTGCAAGCTGTGAGGACTTTTAGCATCTTTGAGAGTCACTGTAAGCAAGTAAGTATTAATATATTTACATCAGAGGTGCAAGAAATAAAGGCCTCCTCCAGTCTGCTTGCCTGCCCGGACATGTCAGAACAGCAAGCCATCATCTCCCGGCCCAGGCAGGAGCCACGTCTCCTGATTTAATCACTAAATCCCACCACCTTTGCTGCAGTGATGACAGCAACAAGACCTCTCTTCCAAAGAGCCTGTTCACTACCGCGTGCCGCGATAGCAAACACCGGCTGTGAGTACGGGCATGATGGAGCTATTCCTGCATAGGTTCAAAAACTGACACCGGGGGAGACGTACAATATACGTGCCCCAGCTCTACTGTTTACCCACCATTATTTTGGGAATAGGTGTTTCAAATGAAACCTGTGTTCGGGAGGACCCTGCCCTCCTTTCCGGGCAGTGGGATGCAGCGGGGGAACGCCGTGCTCTGCCCATAGCCCGCTCCCATTTGTTGTCCCTTGAAACTTCACGCGGCGTGAGCAAGGCTCCTGCAATTTTAAAGGGAGCCCAAGGAAGATGTGTCCCGCTGCTACTGTGTTAAACTTGGTAGCTTGTCTAGCTGGATTTATATTTTTTCCCCTTGTCTGCAGTGCTGAACAACAGCAAAATGTGCCTTGGAAAATATACATGACACAGCACTTATCTGTGATTCATACTGCCTTTATAAAAGCAGTCAATAGCACTATCTATCTATCTGACTCGTTCCCACTCCCCAGAAGACCGTCTCTCTCACGCGTATCTTTTCCTTCTTGCTCTTATTCCTCTAATCATTCTTTTCTGTGGCTTTTTTCCCCCCCCATATTAATTGTACTTCTTCTCTGTTGCACCAAGAACTCTGATTTCTGGTGACATTTTATCAGTCTGCAGGGCACCGTGAGAACTGCTAAATTCCACAAATTAGCAAAAATAAACGAAAAAGAAATATTCCATCCGTAAGCGACACGGAGGATGAGGGAAGTTTTTTTCGCCTCCTTCTGTAATGTTCTCCCAGGGCCTGACTGCAGCTCTCTGGCCCCATTTCCCTGCCTCCCCCTGAAGCACAAGCCCAGTTTGGACCAGTTCAGTCTCTGCATTCAGCCGACACCAGTGCTTGCAGCTCCGATCCAGCAAGCACAATAAAAAGCAAAAAAGGCAGGCTATTGCATCACGCTGCTCTGCTTCAAGGCATTTGATGGTGTCATTCAGCGGGCATAAATGTAGCATGGTTTTTGCAAAATGGAGATCTTGATGCTCTAATGGGTAAATCTACCCTGGAAGAGGAAAAATGGCAGTATTGGGGGGGAGCGAGGTGGTGACTGGAGCTGCTCGGGAGGGGGGGTTGGTCTGGCAGCTAAAAGTATTTTCGCTGATCTGTTAATGTGGTGTCCGTGAGCCTCAACGGGCTCCTGTGCTGAGGAGATGTGGCTGGGACTGCTGCCCTTCATGGGAGCGCTAGATAAGGCTCTGAGGACAGCAGATGCTGAGGTTCG